TGATGATCTGCTCTGTAAACCTTCATTCAGTTCACAATAAAAAGTGTGTGTGTGTGTGTGTGTTGGGGTGGGGGGGGGTTTGCGGACAAACAGGACTGAATCAGGTCCAGCTATCATTACTAAATATTTTTATCAAAGTTTCTATAGAAGAATTCTGATCAAAAGCAGCGGAAAGTACAAAATAGGATTTAAAATTTTCATGGGCTTAAACTGTTGCCCTGAAATAATTTAAAAACCTTGTACAAATAATAATATCCCATGAAATTTTTTTCTTAAAACCAATTGATTAGCTTAACTAGTAACTAATGCTTATGCTGGTCATCATGCACTTTTAATTTCTGTCAATATGGGATCTCAGTGACAACAGCAACTCAAAACTGTGTGTTAGAAAACTCAGTGGGCAGTGTATTTATGTTAATGGGGAGAGCTGCATCAGGTGAGAAAGGTTACACACTTTGAAAACGTAATCCAAAGTAAAAAATGTCCAATTAGTCTATGTTCTGTGTGTATTTCTATTTCTTATAGCATATATGTTACTGTTCGATGTTGATTCTGACTCGTAGTGACACTATGAATGACAAAACAAAACACTTTCTGGTCCTGCACCATCCTCACAGTTGTTACACTTGACCTCACTGCTGCTGCCACTGTGCCAGTCCATCTCGTTGAGGGCATGGCTCTTTTTCACTGACCCTCCACTTTACCAAGCAATGAAGTCCTTCTCCAGGGACTTGTTCATCCTAATCACATGTCTGAAGTATGAGGGACAAAGTCTCTTCATCCACATTTCTAAGGCACATTCTGGCTGTACTTCCAACACAGATTTCCTTCTTCCTCTGGCAGTTCATGGTACTTCCAATGTTCTTCTGCAACACCATAACTCAAATGTATCAATTCTCCAGTCTTCCTTATTCATTGTCCAGCTGTCACATGCATTTGAGGTGATTGAAGATACTAAGGCTTGAGTTAGGCATACCTTAATCCTCTGACTGGTATTTTTGCTTTTGAACACTTTAAAGAGATCTTGTGCAACATATTTGCCTAATACCATTTGTGTGTGTGTGTGTGTGTGTGTGTGTGTGTGTGTGTGTGTGTGTGTGCTGGCTACTGCAGCAGTTATCCTTGTTGGGGCTGTAGGAGAAGATGAAGTGATACCATGTAGTGAATTGTACAGATGAATGGCAGAGAACCAGGATGTACTATTTGGACCTGTTTGTTGTAAACTCCATTCTCTTTTGTTGAGGTTGATGTTGTTGTTACGTGCTATTGAGTAGGTTCTGACTTATTGCGACCCTGTGTAGGGTTTCTGAGGAGCAGCTGGTGGGTTTGAACTGCTGATCTTGTGGTTTGCAGTCCAGTGCTGATCCTACAGCACCACACCGGGAATCTGTTTATAGAGGCTTTTCTCCAGATATATGACTTGGCCTGGAAACCTGAAGTACCTACACAGATTCTCCCATCCATGACCTTAGCATGTAGAAGAAGGTCAACAACAGCGAAGAATCCACAGTATTACAGACTATTTGATGAAATATTTAGATGCTTTCTACCTGTCCTCTAGTACACTTTATAGAAGACCAGTTTGCATACTTAAATCTTAGGAAATTTGGAAATCCTTAAGAGATGGATAATGCACTTAAATATAGGATCTTGAGAGCAAGATTCACTCAGGAAGTCTCTGCTGAGTCCCTCTTAGGTGATGGTTCCTAGTATTGTCACCATGAGACAGAGATCTTAGGTCATGTAAACAGTATTACCTGTGTGGAGGTGTCTGCAAGATGCTCAGGAGACCCAGATATGGTGTCTTATTCTTGCTCTGGGCATTCTTCATGTATCTGCTGAGTGAAAGACTATGGCTAGCATTGTTTAATGTCTTCCTTTCTTCTTCTTTAGCATACAATCCGAGCACTAGCATTGAGAGTCTTACGGGAAATCCTGAGAAACCAGCCAGCAAGATTTAAAAACTATGCCGAGCTCACCATCATGAAAACTCTAGAAGCCCATAAAGACTCCCATAAAGAGGTAAGACAGGGCTGGAGCCTGGAGGTACTAAACAAACTGGATTTGGGAGTCTGGTTTGGTTGTAGACAGAAAGCACTGGGAATTAGATTGCAGGTTTGTTGTTGTTGTTTTGTTTTTTAAAGAGTACACACTTAAAGATCTCTGAAAATGTCTTTTTTAATTCAGTCTGTCTGGATACAGAAGGAAAACCTGCCCAGGGCATCTCCCTTGTTTCCACTGCTTTGTTGGAAAACAGGGATTTGCCATTGTCTCTGGCATTTGTGGGAGATGACTTTACCTTCTGTGCCTCATTCTCCTCAGCTATAAAAACAGAGTTTGCTATTGTCACAAATGCAATGAGGTGGCACGGTGAGAGTTCCTAGCCCTGTGCTTGGCACACAGTAGATATTTAACCGAGTTCACCGTCCTCCCTTCCCTTTGTCCAATCAGTGTGCTCCTCTTGTCCAGACAACTATCATGGCAGGCAGCTGTGCCATACTTCTCCCTCTCACTCCTAAACACTCACATGCTAGCAAACCACTCCTGCAGTTGGTTTCCTGGGCACTGTAATCTCAAATTCCCATTGTAAAGCAGGGAAAAGTCTGTTTCTGAGCCCTGAACACACATTACAGACATTGGATATTCAGTTAACACTCATCTGGTTGCTTCTTGAATCATTTCATCCTAGTCCTTTAAGTTTCTAGAGATCTACAAAGAGTGGGGAAGATGGAGCTTCCTAAATATTATTTCTCAGCAGCACTCTTCCGGTCAAAGGCACTGAAGAAAACAGATTCATATATTCAGAACTTTTGAAACAATGACAAATGATGGGCTTCGCCCCAAAGTGAGAGCGTAGCCACGTGTTCATGTCAGTCTCCTTGATACTGTGACTTGTGAGCATGTTCATGTATTGAGGTCTATGATTAGGTCGTTTATTTTCTCTACAGAAAGAATCTGACACACAGAGATACAAAAAACACATCTGGCTCTAAGTTATATTGTTGCAGTTAAGTAACTATTGCAGTGTAATTGGGTTGACCTCCTCAAATCCCCACCAAGAATGTAGATTTGGTGAGAATGGGGTTCCATCTTGTGCCTGTGCATCTGTGCATTTAATAGACTCAGCACAACACAGCGTATCCAGGAGATAACTGTGTTGTTAGACTAGTAATCTGTGCTTTCGAAATATGGCTTGGTTGCATAATGCTGATAATGATCTTGTCTAAACAGATCTTTCCATCTACAGTAAAACTCATTTAAAAAGTGTGAGGACTTTTCAATTCAGTTCCAACATATGGGGACCCCATGTGTTGCAGAGCATTCTTTAGGAGGTTTTGAACTATGAACTTGGCGCACTGCTAGGCCATTCTTCCATAGTTGTTGCTAACTAGTTTCAAACCCGACCTGTAGGTTCGTTACATGCAAACCATTTGTGCTGTGCAGGGACCTTGGCCAACACAGTGAGCATAATCATTCCTAGGTGAGGAAAATGGTCCAGGAAGTCCAGAGGACACACCTGTCATGTGGTGTGCAGCAGTTTCTGAGAGAGCTAAAATGTGCACTAGCTCTATGTCTCTTTTAAAGGAAGGAAAAGTCTGCATTGACATTTTTTTTTCTCAACAAAATAGCTCTCCCTAATGAGAATCCAAGAGCCTTGGTAGTGTAGTGAGTTACAAGTCGGAACTGCAAGGTCAGCAGTTCAAATCTACCAGCCACTTTGCAGGAGACAGATAAACTTTTCTGCTTACATAAAGACTTTTCAGCCTTAGAAACCCCATGCAGGGTTGCTGTGACTTGGAACTGACTCCACAGCACACAACCACCACCACAATGAGAATACAGAACCCCCCAGCATGGCGCTGTAGGATAGGCACTGGACTGCTAACCCTCAAGGTCAGCAATTCAAACCCAACAGCTGCTTCTCTGAAAATGCAGCATCTCTGTGAATCAGTCAGAACCAACTCATTGGTGCTTAACAACATCTGCGAGAATCAGAAGATGAAACAGAGTTGCTGTTCTTTTTAGGTATGTACGATACCAACTGTTTTCAGGGAGAAAGACATACTTGCAGTACAGCCTTCGAGAGAAACTACAAGCCACTTGCATTGTTTTGGCATTTACTTCCAGTCAGAAGATGTCTGACTTTAAAAGTAGGCATCCTGATCTTACACTTTAAAACTTCTGGCAGTGGACCCTTACAGATACGTTGTTGTTGTTAAGTGCCATCAAGTCGGTTCCATCCCATAGCTACCTTGCGTAGAGTTTCTAAGGAGTGACTGGTGAACTGGAACCACTGACCTTACAATTGAAATGACTTTATAGATTAATATAATTAAATCATCTATTTGCTATTCACGGTTTTGTTTAGTAACCTTTTTTTTTTTTTCTTCCCCCAGAAAAGACAAATTTAGGGGAGGAAGTTCTTGGCTATGAGGTCCCTTAAATTGCCTAAGGAATAAAGACAGAAAATACCTAATGCTTGCAATTAATTGGGCATCAGTCAGTTAACATGGAATCCTTTCCTGTAACCTCTGGGTCTGCATACTGCTAATAAAGCAGATGGACAAAGCATTCTATTCTGAAGCAAGTGCCTTTCTCGGCAGCCCTCTCCTGCTTTGCATTTGTTCAGGCTCACCTTGACTGGGTGCCCTTGTACCTGTCTTTGTGAAAGTTCCCTTTTTCACTTTGCCAGGAGTCTTGGTGTGGCATCATAAGGTAAACACTAGACTGCAAAGTCGGTTTGAACCATAAAGCCAGCGGTTCAAACTCAACCAGCCACTTCCTGGAAACTCTGTAAAGCGTCGCTATGAGTTGACAATTAACAACAACTACTAACTCAGAACCTGGATATCTAGGTTTTAGGTTTAGTGTTTGTTTTTCTTTAAAAATTTTTCCAGTCTTTCTGTTATTTTACCCATCTGTCTCCATTTCTTTCTTTTTTTTTTTTTAAGAGCAGCATAAACCGAAAATCAAACCCACTGCCACTGAATCAGTAATTGACTCTGAGTGAGAACCTGTGTTGGTTTTCTGAGACTGCAAATCTTTATGTGGAGCTGCCTGTGGATTCTAACTGCTGGCTTTGAGATGAGTAGCCCAATGTGGAACCCACTATGCCACTAGGGCTCCTAGCGCAAAACAGTTGCTGTTTAGCCATCCTGTTGTCTTAAAATGTTGCACAAAATATTTCTCTCATCATTGTCTTTTCTCATCACATTTATAATTATGACTGAACAGTTAGTGGAAAGGATCCAAAATGTGTCTAGACCCAGACTCAGTTACTATATCAGCCCTACAAAAGGCATAGTCTGTTTTCTAGGAACAGACTCCTCTGGACTGTCCATCTCATAAGCAGCTCGTTGGTTGTGTATTCACAGTGCAAAACCAGACGTTAGCAGACGATGAAGAGCAGGACTCCTGGCAGATTGACATAAGGTTTCTCTGAGAGACTTGGCACCAAAAGTACAATTTCTGTCACCTGCAATTTCTCATAAAAGTTTTACAGAGAAAGTGGATAGTTGATGATAAGTCTTGTTTTATCATCATATAAGGCAGGGTCTATGCTCTCGGGTTAAATGAACTTTGCGTGTAGGATATTTTCCTTGCACATTGAAGATGTACCAGCCACTACATCTTCCTCAGACACTAACATACACTTTTATAACAAGCAAGATAGATGGAGAACTTTGATACAAATTTAGAATTTTTATAAAACACCATTGGTCCTTATCAGCATTGTTGCTGTTGTTAAGTGCCCGTAGAGTTGATTCTGACTTACAGTGACCCTGTGCAGAACAGAATGAAACACTGCCTGGCACTGCACCATCCTCACAGTTGCAGCTACGCTTGAGTTCATTCCTGCGGCCACTGTACCAGTCTGTCTCATTGGGGTCTTCCTCTTTTTTGCTTACCCACCACTTTACCAAGCATGTTTTTCTCAAGAGACTGATCCCTCTTGATAATATGTTCAAGGGATGAGAAATGAAGTCTGGCCATCCTGACTTCCAAGGAGCACTCTGGCCGTTCTTCTTCCAACACAGATTTGCTTACTATTCTGGCAGTTGATGGTACTTTCAATGTTCTCCTCCAATACTGTAACTCAAATACATCACTTCTCCTACGGTCTTCCTTATTCATTGTCCAACTTTCTCATGCATATGAGGTTACTGAAAATACCATGGCTTGGGTCAGGTGCATCTTAGTGCTCACACTGACACCTTGGCTTTTGAACACTTTAAAGAGGTCTTGTGCAGCAGATTTGTCAAGTGCATTAAGTCGTTACCAGCATTAGACACTTTTTATATTCCTTATTTGAACATAGAAATTCCTCATCTAATTCTTTTCTTTTTAGTAAATCAGTTCTAAACGTATTAAAATCTTGAGCCCACATTCTGTTTTGCAAGATATTGCCACTAACTTGAGCTTCTCTCATTTTAGAATTTCTACATTTGTTAGGGCTGATATAGCTTCTCTCCTTAGTTGATTGAGAAGATTCTGGGGTAAGTATAAAGTATGGATGTTGAGACAGAAAGCCTGGTTTTCTGTCCTGCATCTGCTACTTTCTAGCTATGTTTTAAACTTTCATCATCTGTGTGTATTCTGTATTTATCAGTATGATGCTTGTAAGAATCAGAGATGCAGTGATAAGGAATTATGCTTTGAAAAATGTGATGTGCTGTACAGATAATTGTACATAAAACTGTTTTCAAATATCCGTATCCATTTTGGTCTATTTTAGAGTTGTAACCAGAAAGAACCCGATGTGGTGCTATAGAGCAAGCACTGGATTAGTAACAACAAGATTGGTGGTTGTTTCCAAGGTTCCACTCCTTGGGAACCCTATTGTTGTTATTAAGTGCCTTCAAACCGAGGCACTTATTAAAATAAAAAAACAGAGTGTCCAAGGAGCAGCTGGTGAGTTTGAATCACTGACTTTGTGGTTCAAACTGACCTTTCAGTCCAGTGCTTATCTTTCAGCACCATACCGCTAGGAGAACCAACAGCAACAATGTACCCAAAATGTT